CAACCAAGTTCCAAACTTGATTGTCATACATGGATTGTATCTCGCTATCCATAGCCTCTTTCCATTTGGCAGACTCGGGGCCCGCCATGGCTTCCTCGTAGCTGTTAGGGTCATCTTGACTTACTAGTGTCTCATCACTAATAAGTGTCTCACCTTCTGCAGTAATATGGAATCCATAGTAATGCTCAGGTGCACTCCTAACTCTCGTGGAACGCCTCAGAGGTACAGATTCGTCAATTGGCTCAACAGGAGTTTCCTCCTCAAGTTGAGGGCTAGAGTTTGAAGTTCCTTCACCACTTGACTCTTGAATTTCTTCAAGATAATTGCCTCCCACTGTCTCCTTGGCTTATAAACTCTCTTTCTCGAAAGACTCCTCTTCTTGCTACAAAGACCACATTGTCACTAGGTCTGTAGAAGAGGTAACCAAAGGATTGCTGTGGGTAGCCGATGAAAATACACCTCTCGCTTCGGGGTTCGAGCTTATCATGAGTCTCGCGTCTCACGAAAGCCTCGCATCCCCAAATCTTGATGTGGTCTAGTTTAGGTACTTTACCAGTCCACATCTCGTGAGGAGTTTTGGCAACTTTCTTTGTAGGGACTAGATTAAGGATATGGGCGGCAGTCTCTAAGGCATACCCCCAGAATGAGATTGGTAGCGAAGCTCGACTCATCATGGAACGAACCATGTCCAACAAGGTTCGATTACGCCTCTCAGCCACACCATTCAACTGCGGTGTCCTGGGAGGTGTCAATTGTGAGATAATCCCACATTCCTTTAGATAGTCGAGGAACTCTGAACTAAGATACTCACCACCTCGATCGGATCGAAGCATCTTAATGTTCCTGCCCAATTGATTCTCGACTTCCTGTTTAAATTCCTTAAACTTCTCGAAAGTCTCTGACTTATGCTTGATTAAGTAGACATATCCATATCTACTGTAATCATCGGTAAAAGTCAAATAATAACGATTAGCATCCCTTGTGGCATGTTTGAATGGTCCACACACATCCGTGTGTATAAGGTCCAACAAACCTTCACCCCTTTCACATGAGCCTGTGAAGGGTGACTTTGTCATTTTTCCAAGTAAGCATGATTCGCAACTATCATTTGACTTTAGGTCAAACGACTCCAAGACTCCATCTTTTTGGAGTTGGCCTATGCGTTTCTTGCTTATATGTCCAAGACGACAACGCCATAATGATGCTTTATCCAAGTTATTATTATTAGTAGAATCAATACACAAAACATTATTTCCTAAGTTATCTACAATAGATACAGCTTCATACACACCATCACAAGGTAATGCTTTAAAATAAAGAACATTATTAAAGAAAGCATTAATTGAACCAACTTCATTATCAAACGAAAAGGTGAAACCTTGTTTGTACAATGCATGAAAGGAAATAATATTTCTTGCCATTTCTGGCGAATAACAACATTTATTCAAATCTAAATTTAACCCACTACTTAGCGATAAAGTATAAACTCCAATCTTGGTGACAGATGTAACTTTCCTATTCCCCATGATTAAGTTTATTCTTCCTTGCTCCACATTCTCACTTCTTCCTAGTCCCTGCAAGTCACAACAAATATGAATTCCGCAACCTGTATCAAGGACCCAAGATTTCGAATGGGGTGAGTTATTAGAAATGATAGTGTAAATACCTGCATGGTTGGGTTTGACTTTCCCATCCTTTACATCTTGCTGGTACTTTGGGCAGTTCCGCTTCTAATGAGCTTTTTCGTGGCAATAGAAGCATTCAGCCTCTTTTGGGTCAGAAGAGGGAGTAATGAAACCTTTCTTGGTTCCACTTGAAGAAGAGCCATCAAGGGTCCGAGCCTTGGTACCCTTTGAAGATCTCTTTCTCTTCCTCCCTCGACTTTGCCCGATTGCCAAGACCGGAGTTGAGTCTGGAGTAGGAGTGATAGCAACCGACTTCCCCTTAAGACCTGTTTCTGCGGTCTTGAGAAGTCCCTGAAGTTTGCTGAGGGTGACCTCTTCCTTGTTCATGTGATATGTCATGCGGAATTGATCATAGCACGATGGTAAGGAGTGCAAAATGATATCTATTGCAAGCTCCTCAGGGAAGTTCACATTGAGCTTCAGCAACCGATCCACATACCTTTGCATTTTCTGCATGTGGGTCGTGACGGACTCTCCGTCCTTCATCATGGTCGTTATCATGGAGCAGATGACTTCGTACCTCTCTTGTCGTGCACTTTGATGGTATCTTTCCATCAAATCTTGGTGCATTTCATAAGGGTAGAAGTCTTCATAAGACTTTTGGAGTTCAGCTGTCATGGTGGCTAACATGATGCAAGCCACCTTGGTTGCATCTCTTTCATGAGTATGAAAGTCAGCGATCTCCTGGGGAGTTGCAGTGGACTCGTCAATTTCCTTAAGCTCCTTGTCAAGGACATATTCTTTGTCCTCGTAGCGGGTAATCATCCTGATGTTTCTGATCCACTTATTGAAGTTGGATCCATCAAAGGTGACTTTCCCACACAGACTCATAAGAGTAAAGGAGCCATTAGGATTCGAGCCAGAAGCATTAGTTGAAGACATCTGAAAAAGAAGAACAATTTTAGTTTAGATTTAAGAGAGTCCTTAATAAAACACCCAAATGTAATATTAAGGCTAGGATCCAATCACAATATAATATAACTTAGAAGAGGTATGCCGTAATCTAAGCTATACCATATTTGAAAGGTAGGTGAATGACGATTCACCAATTTCCACCACGAAAACCGAAATATTAAATATTTAGTTTTTATTGGTTTTAGAAATTCCTAGATTCTTTGAGATCCAATGAACTTTTCAAAGGCATGTTTCGATCTCGGGAGTGCCCTCCAGGTTTTGTGACTGGGATGCCGAGGATCACAAAACGAGGTGTGAAGTAACCATGCAAATCACTTGGTACCTTTAAAGTTTATCACTCAATCGATGTGCCGGTAAACCACACACGCTCCACCGATACTATAATAAACCTTAAGTCACCCTTTACCTACCTTGTTAAGTCCAAGTTAGTGTGCCGGTTAACCACACACGCTCCACCAACGACTCAGACAAAGTGTAAAGTGTAATTTCATGGATTAGCACCTTATTCACATTTTTCCTAAAGTAACTAAGATTGGGAATTTAATAAACATTTAGTTACTTTATATATTCATCATACTTTGAATGAGAATTTATAAGTCCTTGTCTTACCCGTTCGGCTAACGACCCTCCACCAGTCAAGCAAGCGGTGGGTGAGAATATTCACCCATTAAGTCACCATTTTATAGGCAACAACCTTATACCCACCTTATAGACCGGCTTCGTGAATGAGGCGTACTAGCGGTAAGACGACTTAATTCTTATACATATATATATAATTATTAAATTATCATAATATAAGTATAAGGGTTGAATTTTAACTTTTAAAATTCTAGGGGTTGGAACTTAAAGTTTTAACTTAACTTTACTTGTTCCAAAACTTGAGGGCAAGTTTTGTAACTTTCAAAACCTTTCATTTCTTGTAACTTATGAGTTTAATAGAGTAATAAAATGAAGACTCTTCATTTTTATAACTCTTGTGTTTTCTTAATGGTTTTAACTCAAGTGTGACTCTTGGTTTTCCATAACTTAAGGATAAGTTATGGACTCCATTAAAACACATTATGATCAAGAATTAAACTACCAAATAGGTTACAAATAATTCCTATGATCATCTAAAACATCATAAGAACAAGAACATGAATATGAACACAATCAAAAAATTACATAAAACTTTGTAATTTTGATAACTAGTTGTTGTAAATGAATTAGCAAGACATTACACCACCAAAAACAAGTTTACATGTACTAAAACAGTTTAGGGTAATGTTTCTAATTCATTTCCAGCAACTGAATCGAAATTCTGCACTCATTCGACCCTACTCGCCGAGTGCATGAACATGACTCGCCGAGTTGGTTGAAGATACACATGGAATCGACGAGTCCCCCCTATAGACTCGACGAGTCCATTCGCAGACAGCAAATTTTCGATTCTGTTTTCAACTTTTAAGCACAAATAAGAACAAACAAGCCTAGGCTCTGATACCACTGATGGGTTTTGAGCATTCTAACACTTCCTAAGTGTACATGCAACCCTAATAACCTTGGATCTATGTTTGTCTAATTTGTCATGCAAAGTTGAATTCCAAGGTTATATTCCTATCTAGCATACATGGGGAACAATTTTAACATAAAGTATAGATAGAATAACTTACCTTGTTGTTGCTTGTGTTCCTTGAAACCTTGTGAGCCTAGCACCCCAAGTGTGATGCCTCAAATGCTTCACACAACACGAAATGCTCTTGGAAGAACTTATGAGAGAATACTCACTTCACAAAATCGGCCAAGCCCTCTATTACTTAGTGTGTAACCGATTTGGGAGGAGATCATATTACTTATATAGTGTTGACACATCTAGGGTTAAACCCTAATGTGTCATGACTCTTCATTTCCATGACCCATGGGTTTGTAACTCCCATGGAGCATCCATAGAGCATCCTATGGGTGGAACCCAACTTGATGATCCATGGAGCCTTTTAGCCCACTATACAAGATATGGATGATTTACTTAATCAACCCATATATTTAATTAGTTATCTTTTGATCACTTAATTAATTCTAAATTAATTCTTGATCAAACTAATCAAATAATATTATTAATATATTAGAACTTATAATATATTAATAATCTCCAAGTGTTATTTCTCTCATTTAGTCTATCCAATTGCATGGTGCCATGCAACCCAAATGGACCATGCCGGGTCGGGTCAAGTACATACCAAAAATAGTTATGGACTTAGACACCTTATCCAACACTTATGTGTCTGTATCTTCTTATGCATTGTAGTTCTGGTGGAAGGAAGTCCAGCGGTTGGAAAGACAAGTTTAGTCCTTGCGCTTGGAAAATTCTCTGGACATTCTGTTGTTTGGATTAACTTATTAGAACAGGTAAACCGTGTAGCATGAAATATTATCAAATTTTCATTCAGATGCAGAGAACATGCTAAAGCGTGCAGCTGAGGCGGTTGAAGCCAAATTGAGAGACTCTAAAACTACATAGATGCTAGAAACAGTCGATGAATCCATGACCGAAGCATTATAGCCTGTAATTATTCAGCATAGGGATTATGATCTTGAGGATACCTCTCAAAAATCTAATACAAAGTCTTTATTGTGCTCGCACTTTTGTTTTGAAGATAGAAATCACAAATCTCCTTCAGTGGAGGTAATTTCATATAAAATACAGTTATTTTCTTTCACATATTGCATTGCAATAAGCTGGTTCTTTCAATTTAATTTATTGATTTACATATTTACGATAGTTTCTTTTCTTAGAATGCAGATAAAATCAAAGTAAGCTTATTTCTTGCTACATCAGGACCCCTGTAAATTCTCCTACCCCTTGTGTTGAATATATTCCAGGAATTGATTGGACCATTTAGGGATTTATGCATGTCATCCTCGCATACATAGAGGACATGCAAATCTTCTCTGTATTCTTCATATAATGGCGTAATGTAGATGTTCTAGAATGAGATGGATTTATACTATGTCATTTCTTATCTGTGTTTACATGTTTTTAATTCAAATTGTATTCGTTAGCTCATCTAAATCCATGTGTTACAGATTAGATTGTTTTAAACACAACTTTGCCAAATAAACGCCATGGAAACTCCATCATCTTGAGCATCACTCCCATAACAGTTTCTGCATCTGCTAACACTATATTTTCTGTTAAAGGATTCAACATTTTATAGTCAACCTCAAGGTATCTTTCATGGTTAAATAAATGTATTAATGACAAAATAAGGGAAAGTTTGGTAAGCAAGTAATTTAATGGTAACATTTGTGTTGTAGGATGTTGTGTATACTGGAAGGGAGTTACCTAGTTTAGAGAAGCTGTTTAGACTAGTTAAATACAGCAGATGTGTTGATGAAGCTGTTCAGGTAAGAAAGTAATTTAATGGAAAGATTTTGTTATGTTCCAAGAACATAGTATCTATCCCTTGGGCCAACAAGGTAATATGTTATTGCATCAATATCATCAATTGTTCTAATTTTATATTAAATGCAGCAGAAGCTAATTCATTGTGTTTGTTTACAATCTACAAACAGTGCAAAACTGATTGAGATAGATTGGAAACAGCATAATATAATTGCATCAAGTTACATTAGGTATATTAGGAACAACAAGGGTGACTTTATTAGCAATATATATATTTTCTTTAGTGGCTTTTAATGCTTCTATTTCTTGACTCCATGTTTTTCATTTCACATATTTTTTTTTCTGAATGTGTATTGTGGATGAGTGTCGAAGATAGGTTTGATGCATGTATTCCCCTAGTTCACTGTTAATTTTGGATTGGGGTCCTTGTAAGTACATTTGGATACCCAACAATGCATCTTATACAAAGGGTAAGCCGTCATTTTACAAGCCCATTAAAGATGTTATTGTTAGGAAAATGGTCTTAAAGATAAAATAATAAAGGATATTGAACATTAGAATATACGTGGAAAACTCAAAACCTAGGGAAAAAAATCCAATATATGACAAATTATTAGCCACATCTACTTTGTTGTGTCGTTTTAAAGTTTGTTTATTTGATCCCTTTCAGGGAGAAAGGAGGTTTCATCTTTGAATGGTTTAGAGTGAACGATAATGGTAATAACAAGGAGAAACTACATTCTGAAGGTGAGTTTATTTCCGAATATATCTTATCACTTAGATGCACAGTTGGCTACCCTACCCTGATGACTTGCTAACCAAGTGTTTTACATACATTCTTAACATATCATTTGGATTTGACTCTAGAGGAAGTAGGACCATGCGAGGATAATGCTCATGCTGATCCTAAAGGTGTCAAACTTGTATTCATGTTTGGCATTCCTTTCCAGTAAGAAACAAAGTTGTATGATCCTTTATTATTTTTATAGGAATGTGTAACCTATGTTAGCAATGTATTATTTTTGTTTAACATTTGAATGATTCTTTGTATAACATTATTATTTGTGCAATTTATTTTATTTTTTGAGTATGAAATTTTATTTTATATTATGCAATGGATTGTATTTTTTTATATGGTATTTTATTTCTATTATGAGAATTAAATGCAAATTTAATTTAAAAAATAATAAATATATAAATTTCTTTTTTTAAACATTTAAATTTTCGATAGGCAAAAATGTGTGTCATCTTCATTTATGACATGGCCTTTCTTGACAAGGGCTTTCTAGATACGCATTGCGTGTCGTTAACACGCACGTCGTAAGGTTACGACACGCGAATGCATGTTGTTTTCCTTTATGACAGGGTCTTCCTTGATACGCATTGCGTGTCGTAAACGCGCGCCGTAAAAGAGCATCGTAAATGCGCGTTGTCTCTCTTTATGACAGGGCCTTCCTTGACGCGCATTTGCGCGTCGTCTGATCCGTTTACGACGTGCAATGAGCGTCGTAAAAGGTTGTTTTTCTAGTCGTGTCCCTTATTGTGACAAACCGAAATTTCTATCTTGTTCAGTTATAAAAATAAATCAAGTTCAGACTCGTGTTTGCTATCTTCTAGCATTGTTTAGAGTCAATTAGAGTGTTCTATGCCTAGTACTTTCAAAGTTAGGGATAAGAAATGAGTTCCACAAGTTCACCACTTCACAAAATGGCCAAAAACTCCAACTTGATGAGTATACGGCCGTACACTTGGGTGTACGGCCGTACACCCCCCTTTAGTCATACACTCTGAGCCATAAGGATGGGACTCAGCCTTCATTCAATCCTTTTCACACTCCTAAGCCATGAACTCATTTTCTCTCATCTATCATCCGATTTTCCATCAAGTTCTTCAAGATTGTAAGTGTTTCCTGTTGGGTTATGAGCATTCTAACACTCCTATGGTGTACATGCAACCCTAAATACCATGGATTTATGTTTTCTCTATTATACATACAAATATGAACTTTCCAAGGTATTACCCTATCTAGCATACAATCTTTGATACTTGGGTAATAAAATAGATAGAATACATACCTTTTTTATGTAACTTGTCTTCATGAAGCTTGAGTGCCTAGTGCCCCAACTATGACACCTCAAATGGTTCACACAACATCATGAACACTTGGAATAACCTTGAGAATAAGGATACTTTGGTGCTCTCTAGTGAAATCGGCCTTCCCCTTTTTGTGTACACACACTAGTACCAATTTCACCAACCAATGACATCTTTATATAGTGTGGTGATTAGGATTAAACCCATGACCCTTCATTTCTTATGATCCATGGGTTAGACACTCGATGGACTATCCATGAAAGCTTAGCCCAACCTAAATGAACTTGGCCCATCACACACACACACACACACACACATATATATATATATATATTAATATATTACAGCTTATAATATATTAATATAAATCAGTAGTATCCTTTTTCCTCATATTGTTTATCTAATTGTCCCGATGCCATGCAACCCAAATGGACCAAGTCGGGTCGCGTCAAGTCTTACCAATTATAGTTATGGACTTAGACATTAATCCAATAGTCTCCCACTTGGATAAGTCTAAAACTATTATTGCAAGTATGACTTCATAACCAGACTAGCAATCGTAGCTCTCAAATGCTTGTGTTGAACGCTGACGTTGTCCATGATTTTTGACATTTGTCAATGACTTGTCCATTAGATAAGGGATCATATATTCCTCCATTCTAGATATCGTATTGATTGAGACATGTATTATAAATCATTTTCTCTGTCTATTTTTTGTTTCCCGATTTCGGATTTATGATGACTGACTGATTGAACAGATCAAATCAGTCCTATGTTGGACAAGCACTCACATTTATCATCACTAAATCATCGAGGGGACCACAGATATCGCTTTTATCCCAAATGTAAAAGGAATGGATAAACTTCGACTCATATGGCTTGTTCTACTACTTGTTGAATCATACACAAATGCACGTTTTATAACATCGAGTTATCAATGCGGTTTCGTGAAATCAATGTATAACCAAATCATAGTAACAACTCATATATCTAGGTTTGAAGAATATAAGATATTATCGTCTCATGATCACTCGTGATAAAATCCATGAAGTGATTCCAATGAGCGTGGGTTGAATCCAATACTTAGAACTTATGAGCACTCATGAGTGTTGTAGCACCACTTTGTCCAACATCTTAGAACTCTACAAGCCAACCCATGACAATCTTGATTCATATATACTTCCAACATATGACCGACTATGGATGGTTTGAATAACTTAGTCATTCGGGAAAAATGACCTAGTTTATTCTGGAAGTCAAAACATGCAAAGTGAAACACAAGAATAATCGAATCACAAATGGTCACAAAACTTATGAACATAAATAAAACACACTTTATTTATTACCATATTGATTACACATTATTCATTGTATACTGTTTCAAACTGTCAACTTTTTACTTGAATTAAAAACAATAGTTGTCGCATGCTCCAAGCATGTACACTATGTTTTTCTAAACAATAGCTTTTCCATACAGTAAGTATGCACTCTATGTTTGTCTATGATCCGAACATTGTGAAATAAACCAATTAAACATAATTTCAATGATTCTGATTTCACACTCCCAAATCCTTACCGTAAATGCAAGAATTCCAAATTCATGCCATTTACCGAAATATTGTTAGATTTCAAACTTATATGCATTGATCCTCTTGAAATGATTAAACACAAAGTCACAAAGACTTGTCAACAGACACTACAGAGTATTCCAATGGAGATCAACTCCATGGAAACATCCTTCTTGCATTAAGTTTCTCTAATCTTACACAAATTGAATAACTTCCACCTATGGAAACATTTCCGTAGTCCCATTTTGTCTATCACTTCTGAATAACAGTTGCCTCTTTTCAGAATATGTCAATATGGTCCTTCCAAAGTTAACACTATATTTCCAACTGTCCCTGAGCAACCAATCTTTTGGAAAACCTTAGATTGTCTTCGACAATTGCTTTATCATTTTAGTCATATATAACTCTAGAATTTTTCCCCTTCTTAATGCCCCAGGCATTTTTAAAATTTAGAAAGGATAAATATTATAGCACATGCAATCGATCCTGTACCCAATGAAAATGCAACACGATTCATGATGTCTCTCATAAAGACATGATTCTAGACCAGTCTTTTGCTACAATATATCTATTTGCCAAGTTCTCATAATTCAAATTTTGAAAAAGGGATGTCGTAATCATAATCGAATTTCAGAATGCAAATAATAGACCCATATATAGAATTTCCTTATGTTGAGCCATTCCAACACAAATTCATATATCCGTGACTAAAGATGATTAAAACCTCAATCTCAGCTTTTAGAATTGAAATGAAGTATAATTTCCTCTCCCTTAATTATAGCAAAACAACTTTTCAACCCCTGCAACTCCACGAATTGAAACTTTTGTTTTCTAGAATTAACATTGTTAACTTGCAACCTTTATCATAATTATCATGCTCCCAACAACATGATGATTATTAGCATAACACTTATGTTTCGACTAGCTTTGACATGTACTCAGAAATCAGCTGGACTTCTAGAAGTTAATACATTACTGACTTTCTTATCAAAGTTCAGATTTCTAAGAAGAGATTGCCTTGATAAGACTTTATCAAAAGCATACACCTTATCTTAGATAGCTCGCATGTGTGTCTAAACAATGTTAGAACTACGAAAAGGGATGTTGTAATCATAGTTTCAATTGTTTAGACCTTCTGCCATCTGCTACAAATCTACTTGGTGGAAGTGTTTCCTCACCATCATTTTCATGAATCAGAGAGAAACCTTATGACCCTTAGATTTTATGGTGTATGTGTTTTTATCCATGAGAATTTCTCAAAACCATAATCACTAGACACGGTTAATGATAAATCCAAATTCATATGGACTGAACTCAATCTTAATTTCTTGCCACCTGGAAGCTCAAGGGCCTGCCATTGCTTCCAAGCTGTTATGAAACCAATTGAGAACTCTAAGAACTCATATGCAAAGCCAACTTTAACTGGAATGGGCACAGAAATCGAAATATGTCAACACGATAGGTTATAAACCTCACGTCGTGTGCTAGTGTTAAACTACATGTTTTTATTCTTGATTAGATCTTGAAATTCTTTTCAGGATCTTTAGGACTCCCACTGTCCTCTTGACGTATAAGACTATCTTGCCAAATATTCAAGAGATAGTTTGGATTCTTTAACAAGACAAACACTTCACATAATTGGTCTTAGTTGGTCTTTGTTTTATCCAAAATATCACAACTTACCAATTACAAAATGTAAAAGAGTACAATACTTTTACTCTTACATTTGACTACTGTTAATAAACCTATTTTTAAGATATGTCACTCAACTTACAATCTTGGAGTATGACTCTAAAAGTTGTTTTCTGGAACAAGGTATGAATCATCTTCTTGATTCGACCACTTCAACAATTCATAGCTCCTCTTCTTAGCTATCAAAATGCACTTAGAAGATGAATTGTGATAAGGTCTCTTAATCATTAAGATGATCATATAAGATGATACTAAAGTACTCTCCTATCTTTTAAGATTTGAGAAACTTTTATCCTTCTGCCTAATTTGATTCTTCTCATTCGTTCAGCCATACATCGAAAATTCTCCAATGTATCAAAATTACACTTAAACTTGTAAGTGTAAATCATGACGAATAGTCTTATAGATCTTTTGTGATGGACTTGATCAGTGCACAAGAATGTGTACTAAATCACTTAGTCCTTCACTTAATTCACTTAAACATGTGAACAAGGAATTAGTCTTAATTTTCCAAAGATGAAAATTTTCATTCATCATACAACTTGCATGATTCCAAGTTTCTATCCAACTGAAACTTGGGTGATGAGAATCTTTCCTTG